TTTCTAATCACATTCAAAAGTGTGGCTGTGGAGTTGGCCTTTCATGCTCCTCCCGAATGGTGCTTGGGTATTATCGCTGTGTTCCATAAAGACGATGTGAGATCAAGGAGACTGGCAGAGACAGCTGGTTTTTAGAGGTTATCAGGTGAAGCCTTGAAGAAGTTACTAAAGGATCAGGGATACGTCAAAAAATTCCGCGCAGGACAGATTTCTTTATGAGTTCATCGTATAGTTTGTCTCGTAAAGTACTCTGTTGATAATACAGAGAGCATTACAAAAGATTCATATTATAGGGTAATTAGAATGTCATTTATTTTCACTGCGCAAAAATACATTTTAATTGTAGTCTTTATTCAAGTTGTTCCTCTTAATTTAAACTGTAATTGAAGTTTTTTATTTATGAACGTAAAGCTTTGAAATTACGTATAGCAGCAAGAATTGAAATTTCCTCAGTTTTGATTTCGTAGATATTCCTCTAACCATCACAAAAATGAAGCACTGCTGCTAATTGCTCATCTATGACTTGTTACCAAGTGTAAAACTTAACTGAAATGCTGTATGTCCTGTTGGAATGGTTAGAAGCTTTTCTTATCATGAGGGTAGGTTTGATGCAGAGGATTTGTTTGTAGGCATCGCATTTGTTATCAGATTGTATTTTGCAATTCAAGAATCATTCAAGAGGTTTTTCAGGACTAAGAGCAGAAATAGAGTTTGCTTAATTTCAGCAGTTCCTTTAGAAATATGAAATCAAAAGTACATTTTCGTGACCAGCCCTGTTGTTTGTGAAAAAAGAGCCAAGACCATAACGCTGTAGAGACTTAAAATGTTGTTTAGCAGTGTCGCAGGTTACGTAAATTAAGAAACTGGTCTTTCTTAAAATATGTTTAATTATGACAACCTTATTTTGTAGAATAAAAAGTATATGAAATAGTTGTCGTATGTTGACATCGAAGAAATTCGATTGGTATCTCTGCATCTGACCTTTTTGCGTTGTTCCTAGAGAACAGAATAAGTCTGCGAAAGATAGAAAATCACTGTCTGTGCCCACAAAAGGTGACTGTATGGTGGTTTTGCCACCAATCCAGACAAAGTTATTCAGACTTGGTCTGATCACGGGTTGTTATTCGGCATTTTCAGCTGACAGATTTTTACTTTCATTTGTTGGTTTTTCACATCTTTAAGCATTTCCGCACCCTGATTTGAAAAGTTGATTCACAGGTGCATGGCAAATGAAAGCGAATTTGTATATCAGCAAAGTGAGTTTCCATATGTCAGAGTAGGAAAAATAAGTACCTTATGAGATAATGAAAAATAATGAAAAACTTTAAATAAATTAGTTCCTTATAAGAGAATCCTATAACATTAACAGGTTGCAAAGCTGAGGTATCCAGGCGATTCTTAGCATCCTATTCTGCCAGCCCGATTTCTAGACTAGATACAATGAACACCACAACTTGCATGGGAATTGCCTTTCTCGTATTTTGCGTGCCTTTGTTGTGTAAGTTTTGTTCAGAACTATTCATTTTATATGTTATTTGTGGAAATAGGTTTTAGTGCCATAGATAGGAAAGCAATAGTTGCCCATAAACAACTTTCTACCTCCATTTGAAAATACCAGGTTTTTTATGATCATATGGTAACAATTATTTAATCATGTACTTTGTTAAAGTCAGGTAATATGGTAACAATCATGTAATTTGAAACCGATACGTTGTTACAACAGGGAGGATGGGCGTCCCTGAAGCTAGCCCTGGCTGTGGCTACAAACAAGGTGCTCTATGCGATCTTAACATAAAGAAATATAAACTCCCTAAAGTTTTAATCTGTTTAGTCTTTACCTAGTCATCTATATTTTCATTTCAATCCGAAGCATAAACTGAAGCATAAACTGAAATGTTAATTCAAATCGAAACTCAAAAACGTCTCTCTTTGTGACCCTACCGGTTATCCTTATTGTTATCAAGCTGCTTTCTCCCGAGATCTGAATCCATTGCCACTAAAAACATTAAAATACGTACATCTAAACTTTCGAGTGAATGTCTATAAAATACTAGGCAACAGGGGTCCTAGACATGAACCTTGCGGAACTCCACAAGTAAAGACATCGTGGAATTTCAGTTTAATCGCGCAGTTGAATTCTATTCCTCGTAGTATTAAGAGGCCATACGATATCACTAAATAGCAGGCTAGTGTCAGGTTTGAAATTCAAGTAATATGATATGAGTCCAGCTGGTCAAACACTGGTTTGTTGAATAGACAAGAGACGACCTGTTGAGACGACCTGTTGAGATGGCCTGTTGTTCGAGTGTCATATTTGAACCCTGCCTGAAGTCCCCTCCATCTTTTTGACCCCTGCAATAATGAGACAAAGTAGTAGCAATTAAAAATCTGATTGAGTGAGAGTTATAAGGTTTGGCCAAAAGAAAACAGTCCAGCAAGTGTGGACGTTACAGGAACAAGCTTGTTTCTGTTAAAAGCACTTTGCTGTATTTTTTTCTTGAATCTGTGAATTTTTCTTGAGGAGCTCCACGATTTTTTCTCAATCAAATCAAATTAAGCACCATTGTCTGGCACAATCTTTCCCGGCTAACCAAATAAGATGTGGAACTTTCATGTCCCAGACCAGTCACTCAATGGACTTTCAGCCTTTTGTTAGGAATCAATTGGTCAACTGGGTCGAAGTCCTTCCTCGGAGCAATGAAAATTATGCCAGCAACAGTGTATTTCTTTTATGGATATTCAGATACCAAGCACTGGTGCCACTAGGGTTTTCAATGTGCCAGATTGATGCTCGTATTTTCTATATCTTTGTGTTTAGGTACCCCCAAAACTAATTTTAAATCTTTTTTTGAATAGCCGAGAGAGAAACGGTAGAACAGATTTTTTCCGACAACTGGGTGTGCCAGCCCTTGCGCTACTTATGAACAAAGACCGAGATACAACTTTTTTTTGGGGGGGGGGGGCACCCCTGATAAGTAAGCGTAGAACAGCCATATTTTACTAATAATAGTGTTTTTCAAATACTACTTGAGTTTTTTGTGGGTGGGGGGGGGAGGCCAAGGCCATGAATATTTCTTAGCAATGAATAATTCTGTTTCTTCCTTTTTGTTGGACTTTGGATGCGTTCACTCCATTTTTTCTTTTAAATGATTGCAAACAGACTGAAACAATACAGAACATGGTAATTCGGATGACGTAGCAGCGTGGGCGAGCAAGAATGTAATTCATTCACCTTTCGATTTGTCGAATGGAATAGAACAAGTTCAATCCTTGAAAAATCAAATTCGATGATCTGATGATGGCTTTCGACATTCCATTTCTCCTTTTACACGGTCAGATTCTGTCGAATTCGATTGTTGAATTCGACAAAATCTGACCGTGTAAGAGCGGCTTTAGGCTAAAAAACCAACTTTTGAGAATCGCACTAAAAATGCATGCCTATGATTTTATGGAGCACTCGTTATGCGGTACAACTAGAAATAGCTCTTGCTAGTACTGCCCGCAAACAATTAGTTCCTTGATAATGATTGTTTTGAAAATTTAGGTCAGGATATTCGAAGAAGACACCATCTTGGGTTTTCACAATTTTATAAAAACAGCTGCTCTAGTTGATGCTAAACTATTCTTTTTATCAAGAATTTTTGGTGTTCAGTTTGCCTTTGATTTAAGTCCAACGCCCTTTTGAAAATCATGAAGTTTTTCTAGGGTTTGACATTTATTTTGCGTTTTCGTGAAGCAAAGACGTATGAAAATGGACACGTGATAGAACGGGTACAGCTAAAATCGATTGCGATAAAGGATTCGTACAGCGATGTACGGACTATAATCACGACAATCATAACTTTTGCTCGTACGGTGTCGAGTTTTTGGGAGAAAGGTGTGGCATTCGACTGGTTTTGATTCCCAAAACTTCGAATCGAAACTTCCATCCATTGCGGAGAACCGAGCTGTGATGCAGAACTGTTTTCGTGCCAAAAAACCGAAGGCCTTTAACAGAGTCTTGGCAGAGCAACTCTCCGAAGATAATTCCCTTCCGCACAAAGAGGTGGCGGTTAACGACCTCCTCGACAAAGCCGATTGATTGACAATGAAATTGATTGACAGTTGTCATGGCAGCAGAAAAGTGACAAAATCTGCTGACAAAGTGCTGACAACATGAACTGAAGCTTCCATATGCTACTTATACGCGGGGCAGACTATAAGCCCTCACTCGCGCGCTATCGCGCGCGAGTTGCGGGCAATAATAGGGCCGACAGAGGTTGCCGGAGGCCATAGGTACTTCTGAAAGAAAAGGCTTCTTTGCGAGCGGAGCGGGCAGAAAGTTTTGAGCAACCACGCCCTGTAGACTGAACCCCTCAGCCCCTCAGCCCCCTTTCTGGCGCCGCCCATGTTATACCAGAAGGGATTTTCTCCTTACCGTTAGACCGTTAGCTAATTTTTCAAACAAAACGGCGAAGAATGCTTTCATGAGAATGAAGTGCAGTTGGGCTACCGTAGATTTTTCTTGGAAAGCACACTTCCTTGCCTCTGTCTTCTTTTAATTTACTTTCGAAAACTTCAAATTCTTTCCGTTTCGATAGTTGATACAGGCAAAAAGCCATAAGGAACAATTTATTAACTATATTTGTTTGGATTTGACTGGCACTGTTTAAGGAGATTTCTTCTGATACCTTGCAGGGGCTGATCCAGAGCAGATTTGAAGGAGGGGCAGTTGGTGGTGGGGGCGCTAAAAAATTTGCGAAAATTGGTGACGAGTGTTCGCTGTATACAACAATTTTTGATCCATTTTCGGAATAACAACATAACTTTGAGGCAATCTTTGAAGAAAATTAACCTATCGGTCACAGAAACTATTTCACCTGGGATATCTTCACAATTTTCAAAAAAGGGGCGCCAGACTTGCTTCAACTCTTTGAGGGAGGGGCAACTGCCCCTAGTTGCCCCCCCTTTGAATCCGCCACTGATACCTTGGGATATCTAAAAAACGACAGTTCCTCTGGGTCGAGACATTGCGGTCCTGCCTAGAATTTTTTCTCTGGTAAATGTTAGACCTGTGTGCTTGTATTTTCAACAAGTCATCATGGAAATTCTTGTTCTGGTTGTGGTTATTTCAGCCACTCATGTCAACAGGCAGAGCGTTCTAAGGCCAATTTGTTTTCCCAGGGATTGTGCTGTATGTCAATATTCCATGAAATGTAGAACGAATCTATATAGTACTTATTTGTTGAGGCAGGGGAACAAGCTGTTTGTTGACTGAGATTGTGTGCTTTTCAACTGATTGCGTTGGGAAGTGAATCGTCAGCAAAACATACAAATGAACAGGAGTTCAAACAGACTAATAGTTTCTATTTCAACTTTAGGTTGTTTTGGTTGCCAGAAAACATTACATCACTACTCCGAGAACCGTTATTTGAAGGTATGCCTCTTTGACTTGTGTTTCATTTGTTGAAAAGATCAGATTTGAGAGCAAATATGTTTGGTGTAAAACAAAACCTGACCAAACAAGTTTCAGCTCTATTATGGCAACAGGTTGAGTTTCAATTGCCACACATCGAGGGGTTAAACATTTAACTATCATCTTTGAATTTCCGTATGGAAGCACTATTCTGTGATGGAAGTTTATAGCGGCTTGTTGAAAATTATTGAAACATTTTAGATTTCATAAACATATCCCAGTGTGCAGTTTAACACACCGTCATACAGCAGGCCAAGTGCTCCTTTTGATATTAGTTGCTTTTCTCGATAAAGAATCATAGTTGTGATACATTTATTTTGTTTAACCTAAGTTGATTTTCGCATATAGTGAAGTTGTTTGTGATAAAACTCAGCTAGTGATCTATTAAACTTGGGTTTTTAACCCGTATAGCAATCAACCGACCTCAAACTCACTGATTATGATGATAACCAAACAAAGTAGAGGTCTTATGTTGTTTCTGGTGCGGTGTTGGTGGTGCGAACGTTTACATTCTACATAACTGCTAAAGAAGGACAGTGGCGTCGCGAAGGGGTGGTATGGGGGGGGGGGGTAATTATCCCCCCACTTTTCTGAAAATATGGTCTACATATTTCTTTTAAAATGGATTAAAAAACGCTGGGTAGGAGTAGATCAAATTTCCTAAGGAAAATTAACTTCGTACAAATGACTGAAACGAGGCAAAAGGGGCGTTGTCCCACTGGCCGCGCCCGTTACCCTCCCATTCTGTAATAGCTGGCGCCGCCACTGAAGAAGGATATGTACCGGTGGATATTGGAGAATATGCTGTGAAACTGCACTAACCAAGAAGGTTTTTTAGACATGAAACCCCTATAAGAAAACTAATCCCTAGGTGTGGTAATTAATGAATGATTCATTTATCTTCTTTAAAATATAAGATACAAACGTTTATAACAAATACACAAACTATTGACATAATTGTGGAAACTTAGAAAAGCTTGTAAAGGGGTGACAAACTAATTCTTTGGGGGAATAAAGACCCCATTTCTTGCAGAAGCTATCTTTGGCCATTTTTTTGTCCTTCGAACATTATTGGCTCTCTAGGGCTATCTCCACAACTGTCAGTATTGTGGGTTTCTTAGTAAAATGAAAACTCCTATGTATTTTGTAGTTTCAGAAATATAGAACCTGTGCTATTTCAAAAATTTTTATCATTTTGTTTCTTCCAGTCTATTGAAGTCACACTTCTTTTTATGATGATGCTTCTCAACGGCCTATTTTTCTGCCACTACTTCCAAAAGAATTTGCTAGCGATTAAAAAATTCTCACGCTCTTCCTTCTGTACATAGCCAGCTCGATGCTTAGAATTGGGATCAGTCTGCATCTTCATAATGAACAGAAATCTCCATTCTGCCCAAATGCACTTAAACCTCTGTACAGCTATGGCATTTGCCTAGCCCGGTTTTAGATTCACTTGGTGACGGTTCTTCGATGAATAACCTCAGGTTCTTGGTGACAGTATTAAGGATATATGCGTATGCTGTGAACAAGAAAGAGAGTTCAGAAACTTAAGATCGTTTTCTGAGAATATTGCGAGCACAGTCTTTCACTGTCTATGGTCTATGCCACAAAGCAAAGCAAGCTTGAACTGACCTCTTCCATTCCATGTCCCTTTTTTCATGTGACGGAAAGTTATTGCAAAATTGTAGATATTTTTGACCATATGCTGAAAAGGTGTGGCTTGTCAAAACTTTTAGTCTGTAGAATACATAATTTTCAAAGATTGCAAGATGACTGCGGGGGGAAGGCGAATACATGCGTACCAAATTGAATTCGATCCCTACTTCAAATTATCATTATTGTCGTCGGCCATTTTGAAAGAGACCCATGAGCGCAAATGACAATGAAGCGCATGCGTGGCGAAACTAACCCGGGGTGCGTTTACACTATACTTTGTGATCAATGCAGTGTAAACGAAAGTGGGTTCAACCTGGGTTCAGCCCAAGTTAGCGTTAACCCAGGTTAAAATTTGAAGTGTAAAACGGGACTATAAATAAACAAAACCAGGAAGCTTTATCAAAGAATAACGTTTACATGGACATATGAATGTATAAATGATCGGCGGACATAGCAAATCCGAATAGGTAGCAAGTTTTTCTAGATGTCATATTGGCAGGAGACCGTTTCCCGATCCTAGACGATCTGTAGCACGTTAATGCAGTCATAACCTACTCGACATGTATGACACGAAGTTGATTGTATTATCCTATTACAAGAAGAATACTTTTCTTGATGCATCCCTTACACGCTCCTTTCTGTGTCATTTCCCAAGACCTGGAAACGACCTCTACTAATCAGGACCATCCTTTTCGATAAGGACTTATTTCCAAATTTACTTGGGAGAAGGTAATCAATAGAGTGCAGTCACCATATATCTGAATCCTCCCTCGGTTTGAAGACCCCCCCCCTCCCCCTAGCTAACTAATGTGCTCCCCTTGAGCAAAAAAGATCCCTCAATCAATGCCTAAAAATTCATAGAATTCATCATTTTTCGTAGGTCTCCACCATGAAGCGAGTTAATTTTCAAAATCCAGGTCCGTTGACATCTATCTCAGAAGGACAGTCCGGAGAAGATTCGGGATCGCTTGCTAGTGAAGATCTAGGCATGGAATTCGAGCGATCCCGCCCACGTCACCATAGCATCCATGAAATCATAGCAGCAAAAGCAGCTTCAAAGGTCTTCAAAGCAAAAATGTTGGCTGCGAGGAAAACAAAGAGAAGGGACGATGGATTTGTAGAGGTAATTACAAATTCTTGAATTTTCTCAATTAAGAAAAAGGGAATGTTGCATAGATTTGTTGCATAGGTTGCGTACAAACTATCAGAGTTTGTTCTCAGAAAAAGTGGGTTGACTTCAGGTGGTACTAGAATTTGAATTAAAGTCGTAAGTTTGGGTGTGAAATTTTGAAATTTTCCTGATTTGGGAACAAAACGATATTGTAAATTTTTTCAAAATTCTCTATGGTTTGAAAAATATTTGATTACAGCCCATTTCGGCAATTATTTAATGTTTTTAAAGCTATTTCTTGTATCCGCGTATTTTATGTATACTTTAAGTTATAATGCTGGAATTTTCTCCAATTAATTTTTTTGTCTAGTAAAAAATTATGATGTTGTCTGCATCAAGACTAAAACCAGATGAATACCGAATACAATCCTGTTCTGTGTTGAGTTTTTGCTGATAATGTACATTGATATGTAGTGCTCAGAGTCTCAGCCAAGGCTGGACTTGCTTCGTTATTTCAGAATGAGAAACAAACCGAAAAAATGACTCCGGGTGTGGCGATGAGAATTTGACGACGCCTAAACTAGAATTTCTTTTAATTTGTTCAACTGATTAAAATTTATTTATCAGCATGCCTGCAAATTGCACCAATGGCATCTCATTGCGACATTTTTTCCGGCAACACTGAAACAAGTGGATCTAAAGCTGTTGAAGAAATTGTTCCATTTTGGACTCTCTGCGTTCTCGAATTCACGCCTCCCTGGCTTCTCGTAACCATTTTTGTTCTTCTTCTTATATCTATCATTATTTGATGCAATGATACTTACCCAAGAAAACTACTAACTTAAGGAAAACATGGGACAGAGCTTTAAATTTTCCAGACAGTGTTTTTGCTGTATATTTAAGTATCCACTCTGTAAAATCTTTGAATGACAATTAATCCGAAGTAGTGGACAAAAGTTCAGTCCAGTTCACGTTCAGTTCAATGTTAATACAGGCTCAGCCACTTGGTAGATTAAGACGAGGATTTTGTCTAGCTTCAACTGAAAATCGTTACAATCACACTTATGCAACCAACTCTTGGTTTTGTCAATCGTGTAGGGACAGTAGCCATGTAGCTAAAACCATGTAAGATATTTAAATGTGCCACAAGTCGACGTTTCTACAGATTGTGTAAGATTTCTAAGACAATGCCACCTGCATATTACCCGTGATATACCTATGATGCAATTTTGCTCGTTTCGTTAATCTCAGCTCGGAATAAAGAAACTAAATGGGTTGCAAATATTTTGAGAAGGCCATTTTGTTTGAAAGCGCCCACTGTATGAAGTGTTGACTAACTATTAAAAGCCCTAAAACCGTACCACATTCATCTATTTGTGGAGTATGTATAGAATTCTTGATCCGCTTCTTTAGAGAGAGGCATCTAGTCTTTATGATATACCGTTGCTTGCACTGACAACATGTTGCAAAAAGTTTGGCAAATACCGTCAAGGAGAATCTTAATCTTGTAAACATTAGAGGCAAACAGTTCTTTTCTTTGAAAAACAAAGCTGCTTTTTATGAGTTTTCCATTCTGTTTATTAACCGATACTTGAAGTAGCATAAGGTGAAATAGCACCCTTGAACTTTAGTACCGGCCTTGTTAATTTTAAGGTCTGCATTTCCAAAATTTCAAATGGAAGTTAAAGGATATAAGGTTTGTCATAAAGAGTTCATTATTTTCATTCTCATCGTCGTTTTACGAACTCAATTTACTTTATTTTCCTATTTCCATTTATTTTCATTATTGTGAACTCCATTATATTATGTACGTTTATAGTAGAAACGAAATTCAATTTTCAATGACTTTCTTAAGGTAAGGCCTTCACAGGGGGGGGGGCAGTAGTTGGGTTATCGGGGCCCAGGCTTCTTTGCTAAAGCTACTGTTCCGACGAGAGTCGTTAGGAGCTATATGTTGGCGAAGCTGATATGTCGTTAGGAGCTATATGTTGGCGAAGATGACTTCACCTTAGCAATTGAACGGCATTGAGTTAACCAGCCTAAGTAATGATTTTCCAATAAACATTGTCGATATCAATATAGGACAGTAAGTAGCATCATCACAATCTTATTTAAGATCTTTCAATTACCGTTTGACCGTTTGACGTTTCAATTACCACAGAACTTCGTTAAGATTTTTCAATGAATATAACTAGATCTTCTGCGTATTACTTGGAGTTTAGTGCGCTGGTGAAAATTTTTTAATAAACATTGTGGATATCAATATAGAACAGTAAATGATAAAACTTTCTGATCGTCTCAACCTTCGTTAAAATTTTTCAATTGTCTTAACTGTATTACTCAATCTGATGAGCCAGTTTAGCTTCTAGTTTACTATGCAAAGTAACTCGAGTAACTTTTAAAAAGCGATACATCTTTTATGAAGTTCTAAAATGTGAGGTCATAAAAGTATTTCTTAGAAATGTTTGCCTAACAGAGCCTGTGCGAATTAAGCTTAATCTGTTTGATGTGATGTGAATGAATTAGGGTTTGCTGTTGTTTTGGCTTGGTTCATAAACGTTTGGACCAGGACCAAATTTCAGAGGTTTGATGGAGAAAAAGCCTGCATTCATTTGGTCATATCTCAGCTAATTTGTAACGCTTCTGACTGATTTTACACCTTAGGAAGTGTTCATGTTGTCCAAATTGAAAATTTCTAAAGTTTTGATGACGTCGATATTGATGACGTCATCGTTTAAGAGCTCTAAGGTATAACTAGCACCCAGGCTCCCTGAGAAAAATTCTTCTATATTTTCTTCTAAGAACACCATATTTCTATACATAGCCAGCACTGTATTTTGAAAACCAGAAATTTACTTCCAATCTTTTGGTTACATTAACTCAGGGGCTTTTGCTTAATCAGCATGCTTTGAGGTAGCTGTTTTTTACGCAAAGAGAATTTTGCTGCGTTTTGTATTTTAATGCAATATGATATTAGGCCGGTTGTAATATTATAGTCGCAAAGCATGCCGGTTGCGCAAGCCCCTTTAATCTTGCATTAGTTTGTGATATTATTGAATTTTGCGTGATAGCTACTTGTCATAGCTACCTGGAGAACTGCTTCAAAATTTATAAGGAAACGCAGATAGTATATATGATATATATAAAGTATATTGCTTTTAAGTTGAAGATAACGCGGTATTATTCAGCGTAACTTGCTACAGAGCCCACAATAAAGTGTCTGGGTCTTTATCGGTACTCTAATATTAGATAAAGCCGGCAAAATCTTAGATGAAAGCTATTGATTTGAGCAACATTTTAGCTTTATAGTGTCGAAATCTTTTGTTTTGGTGTCAGCAGTCATTTTCTTGAAAAGTGCCACCATGTTTGCCAGACAGCTTGATCGCAGTCTGGTTTCTGGTGATAAGGCAACTTATCCCATTGTATCTTATTCAGTCTAATTGTTTTATCAGTTTTTATGTGGATTGTGTCCTGTTCGAAAACTATTGATAGCAATAGAAGTCGCCCAGCAAGCAATATCCATGATTTCAATTGGTCTAGTCAAGTCAACGTCATCTAACTTTAAAAATCTGTGATTGAACCAGTGTGTTATCTGACCTTTTTTGGGGAGTTTAATAGATTTAACATGTGATATAGAAGCACATGACAGGCTGAGTGAAGATCTTCTTATTGAATATTCAATGCCTGTCAAAATTACTTGGAACGTCCAGTAATTTGCGTTGCATTTTAATTTCTGTTTCAAAAAAAGTCACTACTTCCAGCCCCCTTCCCTTTAGAACAAGAATCATATAATCAACGCAAATACAGATACTTCCAAATCTTTCACGCCTTTCTATAGTAAACCAATTGGGGGAGGGCAATGGCTGAAAACTGACGTCAGTGTTCCAAGGCTTTTGGTATGTAGCATTCGGTCGATTGTGTTTTCTTTCAAAAATTTTGGTTTCGTTCCGTGTAGAGGCTTGTTTCAGGACGCTAAAACCTGTACAGGGCAATCCTTGATCTTGAGGCCTCATTCCTAAACGAGGCTACCTTTTGGAAATGTTAAGAAAAACGCCAGAGAACGATTATACTCAGATAAGTTAGTCATTCTGTATGGAGGATACTTTTTAAGCTAGGCTTCTTTGTTTTCAAGCACGGCAGTTGGTTGGTTAATGCCCCGGCGGGTCCACTCTCGCTGTCAAATGTAAGCATCCGTGTCTTCAATATCTCTGAGAAAGGGGCTCAGTTTTGTCGTATATCTAGGACCTAGAAAATAGAAAAAAGGGCGTTTAATATGGGAATCTCAATATAGCTTCTAATTTTACTTTGTTTGGCCATATTTCAGCTACTTGATTTCAGGAAAAAGGGTATAGATTTTCTTTGGTTTCAAAGAAAAGGGGAATCAAATTGGAAACAAATGTCAGAGATAAGGGTCAATTTTTTAGACCCTCAGACACGGGTGCTTACACTTGATAATGTGAGAAGACCCACCGGGATTAATGCTCATAACACTATCCTCAACTTTTGCCAATTTCCTACCTGCAAGAAAAGGTTTTTACCCAGGGATTGCTAACAGTGTAAAGCTAACCTCCGATCTTGCTGGCATAAAAAATTACACATTGTATGTAAAAATCTTCACTGTACGCGTATAATTCGAAAAGGCATGGATTTGCTAAACATTATAGAATTTTTGAGTTAAGTTGTGACAGAATTTGAGGATGATTCTTTAGGCCCGCAGCTCTAAACAACGTTTCAATGCCTGCATTCTTTGACTCCAACTACGACACTTGATTTCAACGAATATTGTAAGGAATTTTTGCTTTTTATACTATTTCATCAGAGTAAACCCCTATTTACTGGGCCTTTACGTAACTTGAGCTCCATACCCCTACTTTCAAGTTAGTGGTCTGGGACACAAGCTATCTTTACGTAGATTTCTCGTACAAACTTTGCATTCACATGTCAAGATCTCCTTATTCTTTCATCATTCTAGATTGTTATGACTGAAAAGAAAACACAGTACGCTGCACAAGAATTACACAATAAATATCATTTAAAATGTGATATTTACGCTGGACATATAAGAAATTAGATTTATTTCCTTGTAGATCACCCATGCGGATTATCCTCTGGTCCGAGATGACACTCTTTATTCGCGAGGGAAATCTGCCACCGCAGCCAGTGTACGCAGCAGCAGCGTGAATGTGGACGACTCTTTATCAAGAACAATGAAATACAGCATGGAACCACTTCGTAGATTTCAAGTACGTAACACATTCCTCTAACCTTTGTGTCGCTGAAGGTACAATCCCTGCAGTGGCGGACACTTGGGGGGACGAGGGGGGGCCGACCGCCCCCAATACTTTAGAGGACAGTGGTCTTTTGTTCTAAAACAATGGGAAATGTGACGTCATCTTGTTAAAACAATAGGTTTGCCCCCCCCCCCCAATATTTGATCAAGTATCTGCCCCTGAGTCCCTGGTTAATGCACACTCTTCTAACTTACCAATGCATGCCGTATGATCTGCTCAAACTTTCAGTTTTTGTTTTTCCATTTTGATTATCGAATTTCAATTGAATATGAGGTATCATATGCGCTGCCTATCGCCAAACATGTACAATGCTACCAAAGCTAAATTTCAGGAGCGATCTTTCATGGTGGTCAGTCTTGTAGAAATGTATGGTAAATTCAATTTACTTATCCTATTCAGAAGTCTATCTTCAAAAAGCCTTGTTATTCTCTCGGGGCTTTCCCCTTTTCTAGCTTTCTATTTCTGTGGGCAAACTCTAATCTGGTGAACTGCCGTATGCTGTACCCAAAGCATGGTCTCTAGGCACACAGCTATTCACTCCTGCTTAAGTTTGGTGAATTTGCTCATTTCTTCGTTTCCTCATTGCGTTTATTTTCATTTTATAAATTGTCACAAGGTGGTTTTTTGCTAGGATAAAATCTACACCTCATCCTTGAATTAAAGGAGCTGCTAAAAAGAAGCGAAAACTTGATGACTTCCTTTGAATTTGAATTTATCGAAATGAACTATTAGTTTGCGAAATGAACTTTTAGTTTTGTGATTTATTAAATGTTAGGCCAATGCCTGTTTATTCTTGCTTTTTCACTCGCAACATTTGTACTGCGAAATGGTAACAAAGACTTGAATTTATCACATCATTATCCCAAATTAAACCTTTAATGTCTTAAGAAATGTTATCTAATCTATAAAAAATCGTCCACCATAAACACACTGAAAATTGCCTTAAACTTAGCTCAATCTTCCTTCATCAAAAAAATATATCTTCCTCTCTTTTGCATAATGCATTTAAACAAAAATGTCAGATCTCGGTTTTGTGCTTCCCATTAATGTTAAATTTCACATATTCAAATATTGTGCATCGCAGTAAAAACCACGCTAATGGTTTTTATTGAAATATTTAAGATAGGTTGGTATAAATATTATTGAATTGTTAATTGCTTGCTGGATTAAAAATTTCATTTTTTCTTGCCAACATTGTGAATATTTAATGGTTTTATGAAATCCTTAGTACCAAAAATTTATTGCATTGTTTAGTATTACAATACTATCATTTTTATTTTTGAGTTTGCTTATGCTATTTTCATCATAGAAATACAATGATAAATTTTTCGATAAATAAGCCACAATTGCGTCAAAGACGGTTCTAAATGCAAATTTATACGTAATTGATCTAGACTTTGTAAGAAACTTTGTAAGAAACTTTGTACGAAACTTTGCGTAAAGTTAAAGTAAATCCAGAGCTGTATGAGATTCTAGAACCTCCAGTTCACATAACAGCAATGCTTATTAACAAAAATACCTTTGTTATGAATATTGCCACTATAAATCCTAAATAACCTCTTTACTGAGGCGGAAGGTTCTCAATACTTATTTTCTTAACGTCACATATTTTACCAGCCAGGACATAAAGATGGGCTTCAGACAATGAAACGATCAACATCGTGACTGTACTAGACTTTCCTAATGTACTAGACTTTGTCAATGTTTCAAGAAATTTTCTTGTTTTCTATAAACCAATTAGATGTGCTCATTGAAATGTAATAGGTTTTGGATTTTTAGGTTGATTCAAGGGAATTAGTTATTATTTATTGCCCATACCAGTAATAAGAACTACTTTTCGGTCAATAAGAAATAGTTAAGTGAATATCTAGTGGATATAGAAAGAACTCGCTTGACAGCTTGACAATGTAAAACAAAATATTAATTCAAAACAACGATGACAAGGAAAGCATTGTTATCCAACCTTGTTATATGGCTCATTTAAAGTATCTAGAATCCAGCTTCCTGTCATTTGCGTTTATCTTCAATGGTCCTCTGTGTCTCAATGGAGATGTTTGTTTCAATGGTCCTCTGTGTCACAATCAATAGTCCCAATGAAACTTCAAAATTAGTCATGTCGTTTTTAACAATGTTCTCAATCATGAAGTTATAAATACGTCTTCAGTGCACCGATAACTGACCATTCTTGACTTAGCATTATACCGGACCGTGTTTCGTACATCCGGACCCAAGTTTCTTACATCCGGGTGCTTTGTTTTTTATAACGTGTCCTTATTTAAAAGAGCAGGGTACGTATAAAGAAAATAATGTGGATGCTCGTATTGAATCGTTTACAATCAGTTTCTTCATTAAAATTCTAGATTTTAAGACAGCATTAAAAACACCGGATCTGTGGACATCCTAGTCAACGATAGTGAGTCAATTTCATCAAGCGAAACAGTTTGTAGTAAGAATGTAAATATTTCTCTTCTTTTAAGGAACCGGAAGTGAAGCAAATAATCAAAAGTGTCTTCATTGAGCAGCTCAGCGATAAAGACTACACTGCGGACATGTGCCGATTCACGTCAAGGGTTTGTGCTGACATCATCAAAGAAAAGGTTAAGAGGCTCTTCTTGCCTCGTTATAAATTCATTTGCCTTGTTCACATGGGACAAATCGGACAGCAGAGTATGCGAGTCGCAAGCAGGTGTTCCTGGGATACACGCGTCGACGATTTCGCTGAATACTGCTACATGAACGGCACATTATGGGCGGTTGGTTTGGTGTATGGAATTTATTGCGAATAGCCAGAGTGAGGTATGTTTTCTATATATTTATTTTGTGTTTTTTTTAATTCAAGCAACGAAGAATAACAATATTGAAGGGCAGCTTATTTTCTGGAGAAAGAATTTTCAGAAAACTTTACTAGGTTGTACCAAAATATTTAGACTTGTATAAATTAAAGAATTGCAGAAGTAAATTCATCAAATCTTTATGCTATGCTTCGGAAAACGTTGATTTTTCTTTCAAAGTTTTGGTTCATAAGTAACATATGCTTTAATTTCCTCTAGAAGACATCGCTTTTCGTCACATTATAAAAAAATATTCTGGAATTAGTTGCTTTTCCGGCCTGGAAACCAATAATGACTACAAACCTAGTGGCCGGTTGCCTTAGGCAATTGCAAGATTTAAGGTCATGTTTCCACTCAGAAGCAGTTTTAATTAAAAATGAGTTGAGGTTGCCAGGTACTGTTGACAACAGATTATTTTATCCTCAGCTCTTTTGCGACGCACCGACTCGGAAAGCACTTGTCTTATGTGTTTCATTCATAGGAAATATTTCGAATAATTTAGTCACTAATATGCTTTGGGTAACAACCTAAGCGTTGTTGATCTGAAAGTATTCTTTCGAAATAAAAGTCATACATATAGTAGAACAGTGTCAATTAGAGTACGTCTGTATTTGACCAATGTCTCAAAGCTTTAGGACATCCTTTGTTTTGGGATGTGATTTAGGTGTTCTGCAAAGTAATCTCAAATTACAAAAAAAAATTAAATTATACTTGTAAAAAAGTTATTTGCATGTGCAAATTGACATTTAAAGCCAAAACCCTGTCCAAAAACTCAGTTAAGCTCCGATACACTGCAAATTTATTTGTTTCATTCAGGGGCAAAGCCAAAAGATTTTTTGGAGGGTAAAGAATTAGTTTTTGCCGACAAAAAGGGTGTGTCTAACACTTTAAGAGTGTGGTCAAAGATAAACACTCCTAAATGCTGCTTTTGTGCGTTTCTGTTTCAAAGTTAATTTTTAATGCCATATTATGAAAATTCAACTACTACAGAAATGTTAATACGTTACAATTGTTGCAAAAAGTTAACTGGAAGAGTACAAAAATTGTTTTTTGCCCGGCAAAAATCTTAATGTGCCGAGGGACTAAAAATTGAAGGGGGATACCGCGCACCGCACCCCCCTTTGGCACCGCCCCTGGTTTCATTTATCAGCAGCATTGCTCTTGAGGTTTATCGGAAACTTCAGGAAATTGTTATTTTGAGAGTTGTTGTGTGTTTGAGCTTTACATATAACGACTCTTGTTAACATCCATGCCTTTTGGCGGCAAGTTATTTTTTGTTAGAGGATCCTTTCATATATGTTAGATTCTGGATCACTTCTGTCACCCTGTGCCTTGGTCGTCCTCGAGGTCACTTTGCTTTAGGCAATTGAAAGTGCAAAATGATATTCATGTGACAATCCTCTTTGAAGAGTCTAATAAGAGTAATAGATATTTGTCCCTTTGATGAGTAGCATGTCTAGCCCACAATTCCTCTTCTTTTTGAAAAGAGGTCCTGGTTTTTGTGCGTTTCTGCTGTTCATTGCAGTGGCGTCGCGTGACCTTCGAGACTGGGGGTGTGTAGGGTCATTTATAGAAAAATTTACCGATGAAGACATAGGTGGAGTGGAATTTAGGTGCTATTTCACCTACTGACAGATGGTTTTACTGACAAACTAAGGATTTTGTAGGCAAACTGAAGATTTACAAATGAATTCTTGAAGTATTGGGAGGGGGTGTTGCAGCTCCTACACCCCCCTCCCGCTAGCTACGGCCCTGGTTCATTATGTTATGACTTGTACAGAATTCTAAGTCATTAAAAAATCTCTGACACGGAAAAAAGTCAAATAAAATATCTAGCATTGACACTAAATGATTAAACGCGTCTTCTTTTCGAATAACTGCCACAATGCAATCTTTCATAGATGCTAACTTACACTCTTTTATTATATTTTTTTGCGGTACAGAATTTGAAAATGGCTTTAAAAAAAGCAAACATTTTACAACATACTTAAAGCTTTTTCGTCTGACACTCCTCAGAGCATAAAACGTCAGAATAGGTTCCGAAAAAACACGATGGAAAAGTATATAAAACTGCCCCTCAAAGAGAACAGCCTCCTCGATCTTGTAGGTCTAGAAACACTGTTAAAACAAGTGATTCTGCCATTGGTCAACATCTTTTAGACAACCCAGATTGTGCAAAACTCTATAATGATGACATGTTTCGGATAATTGGCAGAGCCCGGTCGTCTTTCCATCTAGCAGTTTTGGAGTCAATCTACATAAAAACGAAAAAGCCGCCATTGTGTAGACAAAAGGAGTTCGTTTTCTCTCTTGGACTCCATTGGTAATTTTTCTTTAGGCTCGCGGCACTGATTGGTCAACTATACCGGTCTTGTGCTTGCGTTTTTCTGATTGGCCTATTTCGATCCACAACTGGGTATATTTTTTTCCATCGTGTTTTTTCGGAACCTATTCTGACGTTTTATGCTCTGAGGAGTGTCAGACGAAAAAGCTTTAAGTATGTTGTAAAATGTTTGCTTTTTTTAAAGCCATTTTCTTTTATTATAAGAAAATTTTTCAGCCCAAGCTTTCCGCTATTTGTTATCTACTTTCTTATTTCAACGCTAAAACATCCTTAACAATTTCACAGCATGAAACTGGAAAGTTACGTTACTGAGCATGCGCAGTGATAGGGAAGATGAAATTCTATACTTCTTAATAAAAACCCCAGCGTCATAACCCAACAGACAGAGTGCTATTAGCTTTGCAAGGAAAATCCAACAAATAGAACTGAATTAACTTTGTTTTTCTCTTGCTCGGCAACTTACTTTGCAATTTTGAATGTCTAAATTTTCCAACCTTCTTAGGTTTCAAAGATCCAGCCCTAAACTTTCTTAACGTTTGGAAGGACCGAGCATAAATTTCTTATGAAATATTTTTTTTCAATAACGGATAGATGAAATTACTTCTGAAAAAAGGTACCGTTTTTAGCGATGCTGTGGAACAAAAGTGCTCAAACGCTAACAAAATTCCCGGATAAATTGAAAATTCAATTTGAAGACACATTTTCTATGAAACAAGTAAATTGAGGACTAGCGGCTAGCGGCTGTTTCTTAATTTATTGTTAAGTAGGTATAGATTCTTTCAGGGGTTGTTCTAAGGAAAATTTACAACACTACAAGGTGCTGGAAATTTTTTTTATCAAATTTTATAATTCTACTCTTGACAGGAGCAGCTGCAAAAACAGGGAGTTGAGAACCACTGATTTTTTTGAAAAAAAGAATGATTCTTGACTAAGGAAAACTTCTTTTGACTAAGGACATTGTTTTTCAAGCACATTGCCGTGGAGAAATATCCTATTTAATGTAATTGGTCTAAAAAAGAGACCCGGGTTTTGCACTGAGTTGATAAGAATATTTTGTTTTATTCTAAAATACTTGTCCTTTGTGTTAATTGAGATTGCTATTCAAGACACTTCGATGAGATTAAATTTAAATTGTGTAAAGGCCATGAAGTTTCATTTTTTAACATTTTTTTCAATGAGTAATGTGCCGTGGATCCAAAGGATGAAAAATATAGGCACGGAAGGCCGTAAATATTTAGGAAATACAGAGGGGGTGGTGTTTTATCCCATGCATATTTCCATACTCCAGGTGTACCGCGAGGTGTACAGACATGAGAGCGAAGAAAAGTTATGGAAGATCAAAAGCCAGCAGTCAAGATACCAAAGCCACAATTCTTTCAAGTGAGCTTCACAGAGTATCTTTAAAAGCTTGTTCGTTCGTATTTGACAACTTGGAATGCAACAGCCGTCTATTTCAAAACCCATTCGAAAGCACAAAACATGAAGGCTATCTCAAGTCCTTGACGTGTAGCGTTTACTGTTCGCAGGCGAGGATCGGAAAAACGACAAACGTTTCCTTTGAAGCTCAGCGATCAATTAAATCAAATATACTATTCGTGACAATCATACCTCAGATTCAAATGTAGGCGGGTCATATAATATGTCTTGTAAAGCTTGAAGCAATATCAAAAGTCTGCACATAACAGATGTAGAAAAACAACTTTCTTATCGTGAGATATTTGAGTTAAATGCGACACGAATACTATCCTTTGTGTCGAAGCGAGGGCCAATGCCGTGAAGAACCAATGCCTTTTAACTTAAAGTCTTTTTGGCTTGATTGGTTGAGGTCTTGGAGATGAAACTGACACATTTTAAGATTAACTGATTGCCCATCACTATTACTTTCGTATCATACGGAAGTGGCGAATAACAACTCTAGCTTCCAGGTTGAGCGCGCAATGCATGATGGTAGACATGCGTTCTTTAACTAATGGGAATCACAGTTCACGAGGATTCGAATGACGTGTTCCGCATTAATATTTAGCAACAGCTTGTGATACAGATGCAGTTACAAAACCTTCTCCTCAGCTAGTTCTTAATTTGTTCTTGTCTCTTGACAATTTTGATGCATGTGAGGCTTATAAAATTGTTCTAGACAAAGAAAAAAGGATTGTAATTTTTTGCAAATGATGTTTCAAATTTGAGCTATTGTACTTGCTTTTGTTTTTAGCGATAGGACCTAGGAAGTTGTTTCATTTTAAAACCTGAAGGCAATTTCATTTGTGCCTTGAAATGGTGAATTTTTTAAAGTTCAAAAACAATTCTCGGTTGTTTCTAGAGTCTAGAGAGTCTTAACATCTGTTTTGACAAAGCTGAGTAATACAAAATATTATTATTTTTGCAATTCGAATGTAGCAGGAAGCTTTGTTTGACTTTTTCAATAATGTCAAGAACCTTTCTGCGTAGAATGATGTTTGTAAGAAAATCCCTTTTGATCTTTTTGAATCAACTAAACTGCTTTCTCTCTCAAAAGTTGTTTTCTGTTATTATATCTGCTTGAAAAAAGCTTTTACATGCGCGAGGAAAACATCAGCAAGGAAATCACCAAAATCTGTTAAGAACTCAAACTGACAATTTTGATTCACGCAAACGTGCAAAGGAACAGATTAATCTGAAAATATAATCGTAGAATGTATCTTTGTGTTTCTACTGTCATTTCTAAAACTGTTGGAACATTTACATCTTCGTTGTTTTTAAAAATGTTTGCCTTCTCTTCAATGCAATGTTATTTAATATCAATATATTCCATGATTGTCGGTGACAACATATTTAGGGTTATTCGCAAAACAATTCAAATGAAGGAATCAACATTGTACGGGGAGGCAAAAGAGGGGAATTTAGCAACAGTGTTGGTAACCTAAGGATGTAGCTAGATTCTGGGGTTGTCAAGTTTTGAATCTGCATATTGTGGTGATTTAACTACTTTTGGCAAGGTTTGTAAAAAGTTCAGTTACGTTTTGAAATTCTTAAAGAGAAAAATGACAAACGTTCTTTGTTTTGATGATGTATGAGGGGATATTTCATTGCAAGCTTAAACAGAAATAAGCTGTATTCCTCCCCCATAATCGTGCGATTTTTTGTATAATTTTAGCCTGATCTCTTGACAAAACTTTTTATAATGCATTGGAATTGGTTTGCCACCGTCATGTGCCACCGACGCTGAATCCTCTTAAAATTATCATCCTATTTAGTTTTTAAATGTTATCATCTACAAATTCTTGTAAAGTCAGTAGAATGCAAAAATGGTTTTTATTCTACAATCTACTTTGGAATCTTTACTTTTTTATCAGTAATGAGCCTAAACCGCTGAATCAATACAACAGCCTGATTACTGGATTAGCTATCACAGGACTCTATAGAAACTCTGGATTGCTCTGAAATACTATAATATTGCGAATTCATGTTTGCAGTTGATTTGGCCGCCACAAACTCAATTTATAATTTTACAGTTGAATAAAAGGTGAATGGTAAATTCATTTTTATCGAAAATGCAGAAGTTATTTCATGCATTGAAACCACGAATTCAGCTGTCATCAAGTTTATAAATTATTAGTGTGTTAGTCATAATAAATCAATTCATTGGCTATTGGAAGAACGCGCGTGTATTTGCATCGTAAGAAGTTTAGTCTATTAGTTAAAAGAAGATAAAACGGGAATCTTCGCAGAAAGTTGGACATTTATGCATGGCTATATTGACGGAGAACATGCTAAAATATATGCTGGAATTAATGCTGTTTTTTCTGTGAATTAAGTGAATGTATCAAGGCTCCGGGGAATGTATCAACATTGCTTCTTCTGCCAGTTTGGTTTTAGCAGAAACAAATTTTTTGGAGACAATTTTCTTTCTGAAGTAAAATACAATTTTCGTTTTTGTTCATATTTACGTTTTCGTGGGTGCATTCGTTTGTAAGCAAATATCATGTTATTTCGATGTGCCGCACCTCGCTTTGATTCAGGTATGTGAGTAAAAAAAGCTGTTTTACGTAATTAACTCTTTTAAGTCTTAATACATTTTAGATACTGTAATTTTTTATACACAGGTTACACAACTAAACAAGCAATCGTTGTTACTTTAGGATGGAGTATACTGTATTGGTTTCCATAGGAATTTGAGAATCAAACCAAGTGTAGTACAAGATAATGTGACAGACTAAGTCCACCAGAGCAATTATAATCTTGCTGATTTACGTTTACTTTAACAGAAAGGTCTTTGACGAGTATTGTCTAGGTAGTTATCGTTTCTCAGAAATGATTCATGCTGTCACTTGCTGTCCCTTGTTTTTAAGCGTGAAGATTATGTATTCTGACCTATTTGCGATTTATGGCAAACGGAATGATGGATGATCTGAAGATTTTCATTTAGTCGAAAGTTTTAGAAATTATTTTGACGGAAGTATTATCACTGGGGCCAATGTTATCAAGGCTTTAATCAAGGAACACCTGCAGAGCGATTAAATCCGGTGTTTTGGAGTACTACTTAGTTTTATTGACAAGGTTTTGGCTTCCAATGTCGATTTGCACATTCATATGCAGGTTTATATTGCAAAAGCACATGTATACAACCTTATGAATACCATGTTACGTAAAAAAGGTTATTTGACTGTTGCTAATAAACGATAAAAGAAAATTCCTACATGAAAAGTATTAAGAGAGAGGATTTACCGAGGGGCCATTCACTCTTGCAAATAGCGTACGATGTTTTCGTCAAAACAAAAGGATTTCTAGAGATTTTCTGATAAAACAATATGATTTCTACCAAAAATGTACGAGATTTCCATGCACTGATTTGCCCCTCAGGATTTACAGATTCTTGTAGAAAGATTTAACGGAGAAAAGTAGAATAGAGGGGCATTCAAGTTTGAGTAATAAGGTGTCTGAATCAAAAAAAAGAGCCCTACTTTTTGTAGTCCGACAGTGGGTAGACCTTTTTATTAGTTTAGTTTAACGTGAGAATGTCACAGGCATTGATAGCTAAAAGTAATTCTCGTTTTCATTCAAGTTCACAAAGAGGCACGGAAGCTAAAGAGTATTTTGGGCTTGTCTAGCATCAAGGCTTATTGATGTGACGATTGTATTGTTAATGTAAATGCGAAATTAATTGCGTTCGACTCTGAGATTATCTTTTCTGCTTTAGGATCAAGAATTGAAGTTGCCTTGGATCAACGAGGCCTTAGCGATTATTATCTGCACTCCGATATGAGACGGTGAACAATGTGAGAATGGATTTATTAGCACAACAAAACGACAGGAAAGATTTGCCTTTCTGCCAAGTATAATATATCTGACAGCAAATTGGGATTAAAAGACAGTATTTTCAAAGCATGTACGAGGGCAGTATTTTGAAAAACTCGGGTTCTGGAGGCATGGAGGAAGCCAAGTGCAAACGAGTGGCTATTGCTGTTGTTGATGACGATCTTACTGACAGTTCTTTGATGGAAAATATTGCATCACTAGCCGAGTACCCGAGAATTACTCATCGACAGTATGTGATTAATAAAAAAGAGCAACAAAACGCGATATGGAATGACATGTTAGGAGCACGAGGGAAAATATCGTTTAAGAAAGAAAATAGAATATCGACAATCGAGGCTGCGTTACATTGGTTTGGGAACCTCTTGTTGTTTATTGCATTGATATTCAGCTATTCTAAAGATACTCTTACCGGGAGTTTAGTTCTCAGAACAACCATCTTGGAGTTATTGTTTAGTGTGTCTGGGATCCTTGTGTCGTGTTATAAACAGTGGCGAGCTTGGGGCTCGGTAACAAGTGCGAATGAGCCAATCTCTGCAGAGTCTAATGGAATCAAAAATAGCAATGCTGTCCATATGAATGGTTTTATCATCACTAGCAATCTCGCAGGCTGTGCTTTGATTTGCAGTGGATTCACGCTTTTGCTTCTTTTTGATAGGAGCGAATACACGTTTCTTAAAAGCACTATGTACTTCACTGGGCTCACTATATTTGCACTTATGATTGTGGACAACGTAATTATGAATAAAATGTCTGAGGGAAAGGCAATCGTTGAACAAGATCAGTTTAAGCTGCTGATTCATGAATTAAAAGAAGAGTTGTTCGAAGAACTACAGCTTAGCAATAAGTATGAAAGGGTGAAAACTTTGAGGGATTACATTGAGAAATTTGACGCATTTAAGTTGAAATCAAAGGGGTATATTTATCCAATTTAGTCCAAATTGTGCATTCCTTTATGTGGTGGAGGCTCGCGTCTTTCGCGTCAGACCTCGATTTGTTTGTTTCAGAAAAGACTTTTTACTGCAGATTATATATAACTAAAGGTTTCTGTTTTCCAAATTTGCATTGAGTATTTTATAAGCCTGACCATCCACCATACGATTACTGAAAAGTTAACTCTTGAAAACATCAAACATTGCATTAGGTAAAATGAAAGACTGTTTTGTGCGTAAGCGAGACGACGTTGGTTTCAAGCGTAGAGATTGAAGAAAAACCTAATATAAAAATTTCTAAATTAGTAAGTCGATTTTGAATTGATTTATTAGTCTCGCATAGACTCATTTTAGCCTGCATTCATCTGAGTTAGATTAACGGAAGAGTTGAATAATTGAAAGCCGAAAGATAATATGCCGTTGCCAGAGTTTCTCCTCGGCAATTTTCCGAGCCATTGGGGCTTCTCGTTTGAAATAGCAAGAAGCAATATTGAAAGCTTCACGTTGAAGAAAATTCGTGTATAAAGCCTCCAAACGAAAGGTGCTTGGGGGACATGAAGAATCTGAAAAGGTATCATGTTTTGCTATATGTCATATTTTTAGGAGAGCGTTCCCTAATCCTAGACAAGCTGTGATTCCTTGATTCAGTCAAATAACTCCTTGAAGTGTATGACAAGAGGTTAATCGAATTATCCAAGCCAGATTCTTCACCTTTGCCATTTCTTTGACCATTTGTTTGACCATTTGTTGGACATTTAGAATCTCTGATGACCATATTTTTAGCAATACTATCAGTGAAAATTGAAAATGGCATTAAAATTTTGTATATCGGCCGAAAATGCTTGTAGAAATGAAAATTAACAGCTTGATGTAAAAGTTTAATTTGTAAGTAGCATCTAATAATTGTTCATGAATGTTGATTATGATGTTGTTTTTACTAACTGCTTGCTCGTTTTGTAAAGGCGTTTCAGCTGCAAAATTCTGTTGGTCAGTTAAGCAAAGATATTTTCCTTTTTCAAGAATAAGTAACTATATATTTTACTTCGAATGTGCAAGGCGAACATTTTAATGCTTCTCGATAGCACGTTTTTATTTAGTTTGATCAATGGAGTCTTGGGCCTTGGACGAATGAACTGAGCAATTCACTGACAAACGCCTAACATTGAAGTTGTTGAAATTTATTATCTTTTTCGATTGTTGAGCATTGTTATGCTGCTGAATAATGTTCACTAAATGTTTGAAGAGAGAAAAAATTGTTTGGTAAACAAGATTGCTTCAGTTGCATGTCCAGTTCATTTGGCCATCCAACTGAACCAGTGGCGGCGCCAGGGGATGGTTTACCCCCTCCCCACTTTTCTGAAAATATGGTCTACATATTTCTTCTAAAAATGGATTAAAAAACGCTGGGTAGGGGAAGCTCAAATTTCCTAAGGAAAGTTAACTTGATGCAAATCACTGAAACGAGGCAAGGGGGCGTGGTCCCACTGACCGCGCCCGTTACCCTCCCAGTCAGTAATAGCTGGCGCCGCCACTGAACTGAACAGACGACAAACATTTGGCAAATACACTCGCATACGCATATCAACTGGTTTAATGGCGCGTAAACGATCAGTAGAATCTCGTGTAATATTCTTCAAAATATTTTTTCCTGGCGTAAAGCTTTCAATCTATGTTCTGACGTTTTATATTCTGCAGAATGTCAAACGAAAAGCATAAATTTGACTCAAAATATTTGCTTTTTTAAAACCCATTCTTACGTTTTGTACCACCAAAAGATTGTTTGACAAATTCTTCATGAAATGTTCAGTAAAATGTTCAGTAAACTTTTCATTTTGCTACTTGGTACTAAACATCGTCCACATTGCCAATTTTAGTGAAAGTTTTGTTCATTTTTTCAGGGCCTAATGATTTGACTGCATAGCAATCTGTACATTTCAGACATCCCATGTTACCAATTGTCTCAAAAGTCGACTAATCCAAATTGAGCGGGAGACTGATCCAAAGATAATTGTGTTGATAAACTGCGTCATAAGGGCCTGATCTATAGCAAGAAATCTCCTCAGGTTTGTAGCTTGTGTCTTTCAATCGAGTCTTTTGCCTTCAAAAAAGGCTTAAAACTCGTTAAAACTGCCACTGTTGTTGGCATTAAATATCTTATCTTTGAATGTTTGGTATTGCCTGACATTGGTATGAATTTTAAATTTTTTTATATTTCAGTTTGATAACTTTTACACTAGTTTCCAATTGAAGACACCCACGTTCATTAATAATTGAAACTTTACTGAATTAATCGACGACGCTAAGCATTCGACTTCACACTAGCTGAAGCCTCGGGACCCCTCTTGATTCAATATTGCAAATTTTTCCTTCCTTCTCCTTGCATTGAGGTATTTATTTACTCTAATATCAAATAAATTCAAGCTAATTACACAAAACAGCGAGGTTTATATGTTTGTAAGAATATAGGGCTAAACTTTCTAATATTCACGTATTTTGTTACGTCAATAAGTTTTGAAGACTCCCTTAAAATACCTCCGATCAAAACAAAGAAAATGGTAACAACTTTAAAATGCCGCAGTGGTAATTTTTTATGGCTAATTCTGTTGTCTTTCATTATGTGGCCTTCCATACAAATTCAGAATATTATTGAATTCTTGGAAAAATATGACAACGTATGAAGCTGAGAAATATGCGAAGGTAATATCGAAGATCAAGCTACTTCATGTTGAATATAGATCGGTCACGAATACTCAGTGAATACCTAAGGGCCTAGACGATAAATCTACCAATCAAAATGCACCGTTCATCCGCAAAGACAATGGCGTCCAGCCTCACAGTTGTTTCAAAATAGTCTCGCTTCGAGGTCATTACGAACAATTCATGGATGTCGGTAAGGTTGAATTGATGGAGCTTCATCGAGAACACAAAATACGACTATTTCTCAAAGAATTGTTGCAAAGATGGGGTTGCATGCTTGTGTCACTGTCTCTCATTTAACCAACAGTCAATGAACAGCGAACTGCAACAGAAAGGTAAGCTTTTTCACTTATTTCCGTGCCCTCGTTGGCAAACTTACCGATCATTTTTCGATAGGAAACGCTTGCCGCTTGTATTTTGTTTTATGATTTAAAAATGCAGATATGTTTGAAGATTTTAGCTTAGTGCATTCATGTATTTTGGTTCATTTTGTTTGTATAATTCTGGCGCCTTTTTGTGCAGTCTCTGTTCATGTTCTTCGATGTTTTTGATTTGGCCATTGGGAACAACGCTCAAACTGCATATCACAAAATATTCGTAACTGCATGTCATTTCCTATGTAGATAATTTCCAAGTTTTCTCTCAGTCTTTAGCATAAATGTATCAATTTTAGGAGTTTCCAGTTACATAAACTAGGGAATTCAACAACAGCTGTTGTAAAACATTTTAAATGAGCACTTTGTTAAATGCCACAAACACTGGAAGGAGATCATAGCATAGTACCTAATGTCTTTTTTAAATGAGCTATGGATGTGTTTTCGCGCTAATTAGTCGTGGCCATGGCGTAATCTGCGACGGAAGGTATCGTTTTCAAGTTGCTTGGACAACAATTTAAACTTTATTATTTACTGAAGGAAAGTATGGTTTTTTATCATTTTACGACCGCTTCACTTGCTCAGTGGACCTCTATCAGACCATAAACAATACAGCTGGCCATGTTTGTTTTCTTTTCTCAAGAGAGTTCGAAACGAGACAGGTTCCCATGCGTTGTGGAATTCCGTTTCAAAATACGCGGGCTTTCGCAGGTATGCATTTCTGCCATGATTCAGTTAGGAAGATCTCGTCGCGATTTTTTTCATCGACAACCAACAGCAATGGTCAATAGAGATGTGCAACAAGGAAGGCAAGGAAAACAGTGAGGTGATGCGTCGATTGGTTGATACAGCAAGATGTTAATTTGCTTGGAAAGTGAGAATTGTCAAGACTACGACGCAAGTGAGACCTCTCTCAATAAACGGAACTACATTGTTTTTTCGAAATTATTGGAACAACATGTTGACGAGGCAGTTTTTGATGCTACTCTTTTTTGGTACCTTTGCTCAGGACAGCTACTTTACAGTGACATTATTTCCTTGGTCTTCGGTCCTATGTAGAACAGCTAGGCCCTCTCAACTTTAGAAAAAAGTTCATTCGACAGCCTCTTCTGTCAGTTATGTTTGTCACTTTTCTCCTTCAAAGGTCGAAATGGACTTCAAACATTTAATCACTTAAATAAGCTTCTTGGCGTCTTGCTAACTACACGAATTACTTATTTGGTATCATTTCAAAAATGTTGAAAGCACTTTTTCCTAACTGTTTCTCACTATTTTCATAAAAATGAATGATACATTTATGCGAAAATTGGCAAAGCTTTCCTTTTAGAAAAAAGATTGATTTTTCATCCAATAACTTCCATTGCAACATCTCATCACACCTAATTATATAGTTGATTTGTTTCATTTAAAATTTGATGGCTTTTTCCATTGAAATAGGAATGATGAATTTTTGGTGAAAAAGTAAGGCTTTAGGCTTAGGGAAATAGGCGATTTCTGATGGAGTAATTTTCTTTTAAAAAACTTGTTAGAACTGCTTGAGCATGCTATCTGTTTGATTTAAGAGGTAATTAGAAACGTTTTGGCAAGTTTGATGGCTTTTTCCATTGAGCTAGGAATGATGAATTTTTGGTGAAAAAGTGAGGCTATAGGCTTAAGAAACAAAACTATTTTTGATGCAGAAATTTTGTTCTAAAAACCTTGTTAGAACTGCCTAAGCATGCTATTTGTTTGATTTAAGGGGTAATTAGAAACGTTTTGGAAAGTTTGATGGCTTTTTTCATTAAATAAAGATTGAGGAATTTTTGGTGAAAAAGTAAGGCTTTAGGCTTAGGGAAATAGGCGATTTCTGATGGAGTAATTTTCTTTTAAAAACCTTGTTAGAACTGCTTAAGCATGCTATTTGTTTGATTTAAGGGGTAATTAGATACGTTTTGACAAATTTTAAGGCTTTTTTCATTGAACTAGGAATGATGAATTTTTGGTGAAAAAGTAGGGCTATAGGCTTAGGAAAATATGCGATTTTTGATGTACTAATTTTGTTCTAAAAAGCTTGTTAGAACTGCTTAAGCATGCTATTTGTTTGATTTAAGAGGTAATTAGAAACGTTTTGGCAAGTTTGATCCTTTTTTTCATTGAACTAGGAATGATGAATTTTTGGTGGAAAAGTAAGGCTATAGGCTTAGGAAAATATGCGATTTTTGATGGAGAAATTATGTTGTAAAAACCTTGTTAGAACAGCTTAAGCATGCTTTTTGTTGGTTTTAAGGGGTAAATAGAAACGTTTTGGCAAGTTTGATGGCTTTTCCATTGAGCTAGGAATGATGAATTTTTGGTGAAAAAGTAAGGCTATAGGCTTAGGAAAATATGCGATTTTTGATGGAGTAATTTTGTTTTAAAAAGCTTGTTAGAACTGCTTAAGCATGCTATTTGTTTGATTTAAGGGGTAATTAGATACATTTTGACAAATTTTAAGGCTTTTTTCATTGAACTAGCAATGATGAATTTTTGGTGAAAAGGTAGGGCTATAGGCTTAGGAAAATATGCGATTTTTGATGTACTAATTTTGTTCTAAAAAGCTTGTTAGAACTGCTTAAGCATGCTATTTGTTTGATTTAAGGGGTCATTAGATACATTTTGACAAATTTTAAGGCTTTTTGATTGAACTAGGAATGATGAATTTTTGGTGAAAAAGTAGGGCTATAGGCTTAGGAAAATATGCGATTTTTGATGTACTAATTTTGTTCTAAAAAGCTTGTTAGAACTGCTTAAGCATGCTATTTGTTTGATTTAAGGGGTCATTAGATACGTTTTGACAAATTTTTAGGTTCTTTTCATTGAACTAGGAATGATGAATTTTTGTTGCAAAAGTAAGGCTATAGGCTTAGGAAAATATGCGATTTTTGATGGAGAAATTATGTTGTAAAAACCTTGTTAGAACTGCTTAAGCATGCTATTTGTTTGATTTAAGGGGTCATTAGATACGTTTTGACAATTTTTAAGGCTTTTTTCATTGAACTAGGAATGATGAATTTTTGGTGAAAAAGTAAGGCTATAGGCTTAGGAAAATATGCGATTTTTGATGGACTAATTTTGTTTTAAAAACCTTGTTAGAACTGGTTAAGCATGCTATCTGTTTGATTTAAGGGGTAATTAGAAACGTTTTGGCAAGTTTGATGGCTTTTTTCATTGAACTAGGAATGATGAATTTTTGGTGAAAAAGTAAGGCTATAGGCTTAGGAAAATATGCGATTTTTGAT